ATGTCTCTGGCGATTCGGGCCCGACCACCTCGCGCTGGCAGCTCACAGTTGTGATGATGATTCAAGCGGCGCCCAGGGCCCCACCCCAAGCGCAACCCGACAACATAATGGTGTAATCAAATGGTTCGTTTGGGTCCGACCCCTCCCGGTGCCAGATCATGGGGGCAAAGTTGCCGTATCATTCGCACGTATCCAACCACGACGTGATCTGGGCCCGCCGTGCTGCTGCCAGCGCACAGTTGCTGCATCGCCAACTTCGACTCTTCGGCCAAGTACTTCGTTCGAGCGCGGACCCTCCACTACGAGCATGCTCATTCGCACCTGGTTCTTTTGTGCCGCTCACGAGCGAAGAGGTTCGGCGTATCGGAGGTCCGTACAAGGAGCTCGTGCCCGAAATGCTGAAGCATTGTAGTCCCATGTTTGGAAGCACCGTGAGAGCCGCTGACGTTGCATGTGCGCCTGTGGCGTTGGGCCACGCGTTGAAGAGCGCCTTGTTTTCATCAGCTGAGACGCGCAGTCCTGTCCACGCATCTCCAGGCGTACGACTAACCAGTCAGTCCATCTCGCGCGCAGCATCTCGGAGCCCCGAATTGTGAGGATGTCCCGGGCGAAACGGGTCGGATCACCTCGCGAGCGGCATCTCGGAGCTCAGAGTTGGAAGGATGTCTCAAGCGGAACGGACCGGACCACGTCTCGCACGCGTTCTGACACGGCCACGTCCCGCTCGCTTCCTTTTGGGTGGGTATATTTTCTCCTGCTCCTCCCGTCCTCCCTCGCCCTCATGCCTGCTCTCCTTCTCCCCCTCCTGTCCTCCATCTCTTCCTCCTCCTCCTCCTCCTCCTCCTCCTCCTCCTTATCCCCGAACGTCAACGGGCGGCTCCGCATGGTAGGAGGGGTGGCCGTAAAAAATCTTGGGTGCATTAATAAACCAGGGCCGTTCCAGGATGTCACGGATGCCTGGTCATATCCCGTGGCGGTGTTCACCACAAGCCCCTTAACGCAGAATGGATCTCAAGGAGACCACCGCGCCCAAGCCAGATTAGCGCCGGCCCAAGTCAGACTTGCCGCTGCCGCGAAGGAAGAGCTCGACAGACGCGAGGAGGAGGAAGTCCATGCACTTTAGAGAGCGCGCGTAACCAATGAGTCACCCGCGACCGAGGAAGACTGGACAAGGCGAGGAAACACGTCACTCGGGATGCACAGGCGCGCTCGGAAAGAGCTGGTCGCGCCCAGAAAAAGAGGTGGGACTTTCAGAAGCACATCGGAGTGTTAAATCCAGGAGAACAGGTTACCCACAAAAGGACCGCGCATAGTGTAAACAAGGGGACAGGTGAAATAATTGAAAGGAACGACGAGTGGAGAACGAATAGAAGCACACCGACGACAACCCTCCTTCACAGGTTGGATTGAATTCGGGGAATTCCAGTGATGAAAAGACTAGTCCAAGACAACAATTATCTGCAGGTGGGCAGTTCGAAAATGACCAACCGGCAGAGAAAACGAACCAGGTGGAGGAATAAGAAGAGGATATTTTGGGAGAACTGACCTGGGGACTAAGAGAGATAGGCATCGGTGAACTGATATCTAAATGGGTAACCATAACAACGATAATCAACTCTAAACACTGAAGGGGGGGGTCCCTTTATTATCATCGGCATGCGGTTACCGAAAGGACAAAACAAATCAACCCCCACGGAGGTAAACGAAGGACGCTTTCAAGTTAAATTTCAAGGGAAAGATGAAGCGGCCGTGCATGATCACGCTGACGAGGCATATCCTCCCGCCCCCCGTCACCTCCTTTCTCCTCCCCCCCGTGCCCCTCCACCACCCTTCTTCCCGCACCCCCTCCTCCCCAGCTCTCCCCCTGCTGCTCTGCTCCTCGCGACGCTCCGGTGGTTCGATAGCCCCTCGAAGCACCAATCGGGCGCAGCGCTGCCGCCCAAGACTTCCCAACAGATGCCTCAGATCTGCGTTTGCAGATGTCCCGGGGCTGCTGCTCTCGCCCCGGCGCTGGACACTTGCTCCCTCGGGCCCGGCGGCGTTTGGACCTCCTGCCGCGTTAAGGGAAGCGTGCTTATATATATATATATATATATATATATATATATATATTATATATATTAGATAGATATATATTACAAAACAAAAAAATGTTGGCCAGGCCTGGCCTGCCTCCTCCCTATTCCCGTTCGGAGCCTAGAGCTGTGAGGATGTCTCAGGCGAAGCGGGCGAGACCGGCTCTCGCGCGGCATCTGGGGGCCCACAGTTGCGAGGATGTCTCGGATGGAACGGGCGAGATCAGCTCTCGCGCGGCATCTCGGAGCCCAGAGTTGAGAAGATGTCCCAAGCGAAACAGGCAGGACCACGTCGCTCGCGGCATCTGGGTGCCGAGGGTGGCTAGGACCAGGATGCTTCAGGCGAAGCGGGCGGGACCAGCTCTCGCGCGGCATCTGGGAGCCCGAGGATGTCTCAAACGAAACGGGCGGGTCCAGCTCTCGCGCGGCATCTCGGAAGAGAAAGGCGCGAGGACGTCTCAGGCGTAGCGGGCCGGACGTCACTCACAGCAATATCCGGAAGCGGAGCTGCGAGGATGTCCCAGGCGAAACGAGCGAGACAACCTCTTGCGCTGCACCTCGGAACCCAGAGTTGCGAGGAGGTCTAATGCGAAACAGTCCAGGCCAGCTCAATCCGCTGCATCTGGGAGCCCAGAGTTGTGAGGATGTTTCAGCGGGCCGCAACACCCCGCGGCCGGCAGGTGGGAGCCCAAATTTGCGAGGATGTGTCACCCGAGACGGGCTGGACCATTTCAGTGGTGGCCAATTCTGACAGCAAGGGCGTGGAGATGTCTCATGCGAAACGCGCCAGGCCTCCTCAGAATTGTTGACGCTTCGCGGAATCCCCACCAGCCCATCCAGAAACGAAGTCCAGAGGAATTGCCTCGATCAGGGACGTGAGCAGCACACAGAGGAAACCATTATGAGACATCTTGGGATATCTTGAGCCATTTTGAGGGTCACCTTGGGCTCTCCCAGGCGCTCTTGGAGTCATCTTAATCAGTGCCCCCCCCCAAAAGGCCAACATGTGCCTAAAACCTTAGTGAAATCAATGATTGGGCATTCTCGCCGAGGCCCCTTGGAGCATCTTGGGTGCCTCTGGGGGGTCGCTTGGGGCCTCTTTGGGGTTTCTTGGGGGCCTCTTGGGGGCATCCTGGGGGCCTCTTGGGGCTTCCTGGCCACCTCTTGGGGCCCTCTTGGGGCCCTCTTGGGGCCCTCTTGGTGCACCCTTGGGAGCCTTGGGGGCCACCTTTGGGCCATCTTGGGTGAGATCGATCACAGGTGGGGGGGTACTAATTACAGTCCCCCCCTCAGGAGGCCAAAATGGGGCCCAAACCCAAGTAAAACCAATGATGTTGGCTTCCTCGCCGAGGCCGTTTTGGACGCTCCGACGACTCGCGGGGCCCCCCGTCCAGGTCCAGGGGAGGGGGTAGGGGGATGGGTGACCCGCCGAAACAACAGGAAGAAAGAGGGGTGGAAGAGGAAATTCCTTAAACCACCTACGCCCAGAGGGCTGGCGGGAGAGTGCGGATGTTTCTGCGCGCAGGTCCCGAGGGACGAATCAGTTATTATAGAACAGAACCCCAGCCAGCACAGCTGTTGTGGAACATTCGCGGGGCGCCGTCGCTGGCGAGGGCCTCGTGGCAAGGGATTTGCTTGTGTCCTGGAGCCTGTTTGGGGACTCTTAGTACCCGCTGGCGCACTTCTTCCGGGCGCTGGGGCGCGTGTTGGAGCAATGGTGGGCCATCTTGGCGGCCTTCGCGGCCTTGGAGAGTTTTAGGGGGAGGCACTGTGACCGTCAGGCCGCCCATACGGTTTAGGGGGGCGATGCACCAGAGCCGTGGGGATGAGGGTTGGGAGACACTGGGCGAGTTTTTGAAACCCTGACACGCAACGCTTCGTATCTTGCCACGCCCCATTAGCGTTTCAGGGGGGCGCGGCGGCGGGCGAACGTCGAGGGGACGGGGGGGAAAGGGGAAAAGAGGGGAGCCAAAGGGAAACATAATCTGGAGAAAGGGCGCGAATATGTTGATGATGATGATGATGATGATGCTGATGATGATGATGATGATGATGATGGCGACGACGATGATGGTGATGATGATGATTATGATAATGATGATGAAAAGAGGAGGAGGACGAAACTGATGATGATGAGGATGATGATGACGACGAGGAGGAACATGATGACAATTATGACAATGATGATAAGGTTGAGGATGATATTGGAGATGATGATGATGATGCTCCTGACGATGATGACGGTGATTGCAAGTATGTTTATTTTGATGGTACTGAGGGTGATGATGCTGTTGATGGTGATGTTGGTGATGACTATGCTGATGACAAGGATGATGAGGATGGTACTGAGGATGTTGATGCTGATGGTGCTGATGATGTTGGTGGTGTGATGATGATGGTGACGATGATGATGATGGTGATGCTGTTGGTGTTGATGCTGCGGATGATGATGATGAGGATGAGGATGAGGAGGGGGAGGGGCATGACGGCGGGGCGGAAGAAGGATAATAAGAGGAGGAGGGGGAATACAATGATTATGCTGAGGGAGAGGAGGAGGAGGAGGAGGAGGAGGAGGAGGAGGAGGAGGAGGAGGAGGAGGAAAAGGAGAGGGAGCAGGAGGGAAATACGGGGAAGCAGGGCCGTTTCCATACGAGTACGAGGAAAGCGGCTGTGGAGGCTCAGCCAGGGGGGCCCAGCGCTGCTCCTGCTTTATATCCGTAGCACGAGGTCGAAGAAAACATAATGGCAGAACATGTATTATCACAGGTCCGGCCGGATTTCTTGGGAAGGCGTTGTGCCCCCCCTGGCGGCGCTTCCGGCGCCCCCCCTGGCGCGCGCCAGGGAAAGGGGGCCCGCCGCCGACCAAAGAAGGCCATTCTGAAATCTGAAGAGTGTGCTTCTGCTGTTTTGTTGTTCTTCTGCGAG